GCTAGCATTCAAAGCAAGCACAAACAGCTCATACAAACTAAACCCAAATGTTGGCAATTATATCAAGTACAGTAAAAATAACATCCTCGAGTAGTCGTAAGAATCAAATCAGGAACCTCATTAACCATACAACAACATCATCGTTATGAGTTGTACAAAGACGAGAACAAGAGAAAGAGAAAACCGAAGGATCATTCCATTTTAACCATCATCCGGCGGACATTTTCACTTCTCTTTGCGCTGGGTAATTCCTATCCTCGCTGTAACACAAGTAAAAGCATGGTGGGAAAAATAAATGCTTAGAAGAATGGCAAATATAAGTTGAGGATATTTTCCGACACCAAGATACATACCTGCTGCTGATACGAGAAATCTGAAACTACCCTAAGCATCTGCCAAAAAGAAGCCCCAAACACTAATGTCAATTTATAAGGTTGCAGTGCGTTTATAAATTCAGGAACTCGCACAAATTTCATACGTGAAACAAGATACAAAAGAAACCGCGGAAGCTTTGCTATTTAAACATGCCATAGATTTCATAACAGGCAATCTCATGCTTATCATTTTCTTTGCATGCTTCTCATTCCGTAGGCCATTCCCATTTGCTTCATAAGCAATATCCTAAACAAACAAATGGACGGAGGAAATATGCATACACACACATATTTAACAATTTCATCCCAAGTGAAAGAGACATCTCCAAATATAGGGAAATCATTTTAGCATCTGATAATAACTTTCCATCGACAATTAACTTACCAAACCCACATTAATCCAATTATCCAAACATGTCCACTACTTTCCAACAATAATATACGAAAAACCCAAAAAAGTAAGTTGCAAAGTAACATGTATGAAAACAGAAAGATGTTCCAGCAAACACCCAATTGCCACATCCTCTTTCTTAAAGTCCCTGAATATAAGGGTAGGAAGGCATGCTTTAACAAAAAGGTCCAGAGTAAAAAACACACCAAACAGATTCATCTCCCTATATTTTCCAAGGTAAAGTAACTATGATTCAAAATTTCCGTAAAAAATACAATAAAAAAAATTCTTTTAAAGCTCCAATCAATCATCCGATACTCGAGCACTAGAAATACTCCACTGCCTTCAAGCATCAACTTGCTTCATCTTAAGTGGGAAAATAACTGCCCAAAACATCTTTCTAATACAATCTGATCATTTCACATGATAAAAAAGATGGTGCATTCAAACCTCCATGAGCAGGATAACTTGCCAGTCCATGTATTGTATAGTAACTGTACATCATTGATGTACGAGCATCCAAGTTCTAGTTAATTATTTATCATTAGGATTAGCTTTCTGTCATCAGTTTTTAAGTTATTTTTTATAGCATCTTTTGCGTTATTTTAAATAGTTATGTAATTAGTAAAGGACTCTTAGTAAGAGTTATGATTAAATAGGACTATTGGTGAGAATTTTAATATAAATACTATGCTAGAGGTTATTGGGGAAGTGATAATTATCATTAATAGAATTTTAACAGAATTGGTTGCCAGAAAATCCCAGAACCCTTCTCTTTATCCCTAATTCAATTAGATTTATTAATTTTTTTTCTCATTTTCAATAGCTGTTTAGACTTTCCTCTCCATCAATCATGCATTAATACTTGCATTTTCTCAGATTTAACAGGAAAAGAAATAGTAGCAATTGCTATCTTCGCGTATTTATCACATTTAGGCAATGCTCTATGGTCTACTATCAATCGAGCAGCAACCTATGTTATAAGGTCCAACATCAAGCATATGGTAGTACCTTATGTCACCCTACGCATTAAATCATCACTCATATTGTAGACCAACGAATACTGATCCCAAATTCAATTAGCTTCCAAATTTTAACAACCTAACATTCAGTAAGAGCTCAAAACAAAAGAAGGGAAACTAGCCCTATCAAGTGTTAAGGCATATTCAGTCACACTGTAACAAATGCTATCACATATCTTTATCGTATTTATGAATTATGCACTCCTAACCCGTTAGCACAGACATGTATGAACAGATTATTACTAAGCACGCAGCAGATTTCTTGATCTCCTAGTTAAATGATTAGTACTGTTGTCCCATCAAACACCTCCTTATCTATTAACAAAATTCAAGGGACAACTAATCCTATCCACTCCACAATATACGATCTACAAGGACAGCAAGAAACCAATACATTTCTAACAAACCGGATTAGCTAAATGGATCATTTGAGCATACTATAAAAACACATAAGCAGTTAGCAATAAAAGAAAAGGTAAATCATCAAAACTAAGCATTGAATCAAGTAAAAAGATGTCAAATTTTCAATCAAACTGAAAAGACCAAAAAACTATAAATAAATAAAAAAGAAAGGAAAAGGATTAACCTTTGCCACCTTCCTCCTCCACCCCAGCCACCTTAACCGTCACGACGGGCATGCCATTCCCGCCATCTTTATCTTCAGGATACCTAACAACAACAACAGGGCAAACACAGTGATGCACACAGTAATCACTAACACTTCCCAACTTCCCCTCACTCCCTCTTTCTCAGCTCCAAACCCTCTACTCCCCATTATAACAGCACTCAACCCGAACCTCTCCACCTCAAGACACAATCTTTCCCTCATATCATGATCTTCCACTATGTGGATCTTAAAAGGAATCCCGGCTTCCTTCAAGGGTTTGGCCAAATCCGCCACCTTCGACGCTGTAAAGGCGTCGAAATCATCTTCCAGTTGTTTCTGCGACTGCGGCGTCCCCGGGCTTTGTGGGGTGTGGGGAAGAGGACCCCAGTCGGCTCCGAAGAGTACGGAGGTGGGGGAAACGTGGATGAGGACAACGGCATATTCGGCTCGGATGTAGTCCTGGACGGCTAAAGCGGACTCCTCGGAGAGGTCGACGGCAACGCCGATTTTGCGACGGGTGCCAGCGGTGGGGGTGGTGGATCTTGATCGTTGGGAGCTTAGGGTAGTCACAGTTATCCGAGGGATTCATTGAATTCTCTTTGGGGTTTCGGTTTCGGTTTCGGTTTCGGTTTATTGAGGGTTCTAGGGGTTGCTTACGACGGATGAATGAATATTTTGAAGCGGTCAAAAAGTATTGGACTTTACAACAGTGACGCTTCCATTGACAATCTATTTCACATATAATAAATGTATAGAAAAGCGAAGAAAACACAGAGAAGTGTTCATATAGGATTTGGAAAAAGATTTATTGAGATTTTAGGTGTGCAATAAGATTTTTGGTATTGTAATTTTTTCTTAGAATTAATGTTCTAATACCTGAATTTGTGATTAAATTATTACTTTTTTTACTTTAATTATAAATTTAATAATAATTAAATAAAAGTTAAAAATATTATACCTACGCAAACACTTTTTGGAAACCTTCACACTGAATCTTTTAGTACTTCATTTATAATTGGTCTTTTAATATACCTTTCCGTTTGTCAAAATCTCTAAAAACTCGCATCCTCCGAACACAAATACTCAAGTCAACTATAATACGCAGAAGAGACTTAGGCAATACCCTCATAGGTCCTATGTGACTTATTGAAACAAAATTCAAGGATTAGTTATCCATTTTTTTTAACTTGATCAACTTATAAATATGTATCATTATACTAGACTGACACACACTAAAGATCACTATAAATATGCTCAACCAATATTGAAAAGAATGTGGACCATTTAAAACAGGTCTATCATTTTTTTCTTCCTCATGATAATCATCTTTTTCCCTCCTTCAAACATCGACCAACGATCGTTTTTTAACCAATCACGATTCTCCACCCAAATTAAAAAAGGTTAATCGCTCATTATCAATGAGTTAAACTTATTTACATCAACAAAATATATAGATATATTATTTATTTTTATTATATTTTAAAATAAAACCCACACAAATTATGTGAAGTGACCTTTGTTCCAAGGAAAATAAAATTAAAAGATATTATATTTTGGCCTAAAGAAGAAAAGAAATAGAGGTTAAAAATATAGAACAGACCCGCCAATCTTGTGGACGTGCCGGAGTGGTTATCGGGCATGACTAGAAATCATGTGGGCTTCGCCCGCGCAGGTTCGAATCCTGCCGTCCACGTTACCCTTTTCTGCGGCATGCAATGCATGCAATTTTCTTCTATGTTCTTCATATTTCCCTACTCAATATCCAGAAGAAAAAACGAGAAAACAATGCAAAAATATGCTTAACCATAAAGTACAATAACTAAAAAAGGATTTGTTTTTTTTTTTTGCCCTTTTTGTTAACCAAAAGGAAAAGCTGGGGAACTAAGTAACATCACTGATCAGCAACCAATCAAAAAGTTTGCAACACACAGCTTTTGCTACTACCAGACTATCAGTCCACACAAACTGTTAGGTTTCATCAGTTTGTTTCCACTCATTTTCGATTTAATCACAGTTTCTTTGCAAACTCTTTAGATTTGGACTGAGTTTGGGTCAACTTTGCTAAGTATTTAACATGGCTTTTTAATGTTAAAATCCGAGTTAAGATTACTCGTGTGTTCCAATTGTTTATATTGAAACTTTCACCTGCACTCATCTATTGCAGCAGTAGCCAACAGCCAATTTCTGATGATATACAGAATCGTTATTATGTATGTCTGTGTGTTTTGCTTCAATTTTCCTGGAAAGTGATGGTCTCCATATGCTTTGGTTTCACTTTTTTCAAAAACAAACCCTAAAAAGGTTTACAATTAGTTCACTCCCTTTTAACAGAAAGCTAGAGATACCCTCCTTGTGAAATTCCAAAAGAGTGACAGATACAGTTGCTAGGGTTTTAAGCCCATCCTTTCCATCTACATATACATAATCTACAAGACAATGAAAACCCTAACTTATATTCGAATCTTAAAGACGATATTATTATAATAAACAGTCGTGAACCTCGAACATGTATTGAAAAAGCAGAAAGGATAATTTGCAGTAATTCAGTACTATATTAGATATAATCAAGTTTTTTCAACAAAACAAAAGCCAAAAAGAACAGGCAATTAATTTCCCTGTATATATGGTTCTAATAAGAAAGCTTGAGTGACAAATCAAAACAATTAGAAGCACTAGCATGAGAAGCTTCATCACCAAGTGAAAAGGAACCTTCTTGAGGCAATTCCCATTCCTTGGAAGCTGTGTTTCTGCCGGTTTTCCCTGGGAAAAATTCATACTCCATCACATAACTTCCAGTGCCAGCTGAGTTTCCCTTCTTGTGAATAGCTAACACACCCACAGTCTGCCAGAACAAAACCCCAGAAAAAAAATTACATCAAAAGAGTCCAGAAAAAGAAATGTGTTTGATTGAAACATGATTTCATTTACCTCATTGGTGTTGTTCTTTTGGCATGTTGCTGCATAGGCATAAGCACTCCTTGCAGCTCTTGAACTGAACCCATTCATCTCTTCATTGGTGTGATTCTGATTGTTTTCCAGGTTCTTCCATCCATGGAAATCAACTTCTTTTCTGGGGAAAGTTTGTCCAAATTGGTTCAATATCCCTCCATTCAACTTCCCCGTTTCAGATTCCCCATTGCAACGCTTCTTCTACAACATGTATGAAAGTGATTCAGTAAGTTGGCAATCAAAGATGGCTAGAAAAATCTCCATTTTTTCCCTCTTATATTTTCTCAGGAATCAAACAGAAAAAAACGAAAACAAAAACAAAAACAAAACAAAACCCAAAGCTCATAAAACTATGCAGATTAAGAAAAAAAACCGAAAAAGGAGAAAGAAAAACTAGACCTTAAAGCAAGAATCACAACGATCAGGCTTACAATGCTGCAACTTTGGCATTGAAGAGAGCTCCTTAGAAGCCTCAACAATACCAACCTGTAAATTACCAGGATTTCCCACCAAAAGCTGACCATTAGACCCACCAAACCCTCCATTTATAACAACTCTCTGCATCATAAAACCATCTGCTTCCCCACCCCAACCCCAAAACCCTCCGTTTCCACCATTGATCACCATGGGAACACCATAGTTCGCTACACCGTGAAGCACGGGGATATTACCAGCTCCTCCACTAGTTTCACAAGGGAACTGGGTTATCGTCGTCGTGGCTCTCGTTTCACTCATTTTCCTTAAATGTTCGAGTTGAGCAACTCCCATGCCTCTTTGCGGCTGTTTCTTTGGGCATGGAGCTTTCCCATTAGGCTTCCTTCCTTTGTTGCTGCTCTTCGCAAACTCCATAGCTGGTTTAGCTTCGCCTTCAACGGGTTTTTTTGTTGGGTTATCTGTCTCTGGAGTCGAGAGTGTAAGTGAAGTAGCCATTAAAATAAAGGGTTTGATTTTTTTTGTCTTAAACAAAAGAGAGCTAGAGAGAGAGAGATAGAAAAGCAGAGGGTTTTGTGTGTGCCTGTGTTTGGCTTTTGCTTGATGATCAAAAAGAAAGTGATCTTTTATCGACAGAGGGTTCGAAAAGATTTGAATTTTCTTTAGATTTCAAATTAAAGCAATTAAAAACAAAGTAAATTCCTTTGTTTCTACGATATATATGTATGTAAAATAAAACAAATGATTTACAATTAATAAATGTTTCAAATATGTTAATTTTTTTAGTCTTGGTTTTGTGAAATATATGTTTACTATTTGATTTCATAATTATATTCAGATTATTTATTTAAAAAACAGCTATTCAATTTTATAAATAAACAAAAAACTATGACATAAAAAAGACAAAAAGAATTCCTTCATGGAATCAGTAAAACCAGAGTGAGAAATGTAAATTCCAGCCACAGCAATCCCTATGCAAAAAACAAAACAAAAATCCGGAAGAGGTTCATCTAAACGCGCGTGTAAAGCTAAGGTCGTCTAGTAATGGGGACACTGTAACACACGCGTGAAATAGAGAGTGAAGTTGGAGTTACAATATAATGTACCTAGAGACACGTGTCGGAAACAGATGGCCACTGATTTACCGAGAGACACGACCTGAGACACAAAGGACATTACAATTTACAACTCCGTTTTCAGTAGTTGCGAGTGTCAGTTTTAGACTGGAGCAAGCAAACAAGCATTATGGCTTTTCATGCTCATGCAAAATTCTTTCCATTTTTTAAATGTTTTTATTATATATATTTTTAATTAAATAGAGAGGTATTACATCTTTAAATTAAATATTAAGATTCTTAATTTACTCTATCGATTACTTATATTAAATGATGTTGTCTTCATTTAAATTAATGACAGGTGTTCCTCTCATATATTTACATATATATATATATATATAGGGTTGGTTCAAGTGGTAAGTAAGTTGATATCACTTAAGTAATGTATCAAATTTGAGTTCTTGTGTATTCAGAAAATTCATGCCGAGAGACTCACCTACTAAAGCTATGTATGCGACTCGGGTTGATTCGAATTAATTAAGACGAAACCAGAAAACTAGAGGGCAACCAATCAAAATCAATAAATATTTCACCTATATCTTATGAACAATCTCAAATCTTCTTTAATCCCAAACCCTAACTAATTACAATAATCTTATAATTAAGGGTATCACTTGTATAAATTCACTCGATTATATAACCTATATATATATATATATTAACATATATAACTAGATATTAGACCCATAAATGAAACTAAAGGGTGAACCCCTTCCTTCTCCCCAAAGCATTTCCTTATTTTTGCTATGCAAATATAACTAATATTCAACCTAACATTGCATGCGTTCTCTTTGGTCTCGTGTGTGTTGGATTTTCTTTTTCACCTACACTCGAAATTTCATGAATGAAGCAACGTTATATACTTGATGAGAAATCGATTCTATCCGACACGATGAATCTATTTCGTGGCACCGAAATCTTGTGTTTAAAGCTTAAAAACGAGTGGAGAAGAGAAAATCAACAAAACCGCGTGACTAACCAAAGGTGCAATTTTCAGATATGATTCTGGTTGAAGATCTCTACGATCATCCCATGCATCCCCATCCCTTTCACACAATTGCATGCAAGCTGAAAATTTTGCATACGGGACAGTCCACAATATCAAAGTCAATAATCGCCTGCCACCTAAGCAAAACTGTTTCATCTATTGCTTCCCTTTGTAAAGCCTTGATCTAGTACTCTAGATCCTAGGCCATATGCATATGTATGGTGTGATGAAGTTTTATTGCACGTTAAAAAACAAGAACATTCTAAAAGGGTCATTGGTAGGGGTGGTCCCATTAACGGCCACCTTGGGTGTTGGTGTTGGGATGTAGGCGGCTACAAAATGTGAGACTTGGCACGTGTGGAAGCTGGTTGGGACCCTTTGCCACATGTGTGAAACCAAAGGGTTTAGGGTTTTTTTTATGGACATGTTTTGGGTGTAGACAGAGAGAAAAGGGTTTGCTGGGTTTGGACAGACATGGAAGGATTCATGGGGTTTGAGAAGCAGATTGTGCCCTACATCGACTCAATATTTGGGAGGGATTTTAGGGCATTTATATGCAAAGGGTGTCCTACCGATTGGCAGCTTTAGATAGAGATCATACATAGATAGGGCTATGAAACTAACAATGGAACCCCCCCTTTTTTTGCATGACAATGGGGGACCATATGATATTGCCCCATATTTAAATTTGCACTTGAAAACTAAGAAAGTGACATCAAACTAACTCATTTTTTATCCTCAAGTTAATTTGCATTACCCTCTTAATGATTTACCCACAATTCAAAAACCACTCCTTGATCCATGCATAATTAAGTATAATAATGTTATTTTTAAAACAGTTAAATATTCAAATAAAATTTTAATCTTTCACAAGTTTTTAACTTTTAAAACGATAGAATAATGATATAACACTTTTTGAATCTACTTGAACAAGGGTATAACCTTTTTAGTATATTTTTGTTTATTAAGCTAAGTGATTACCAAGTAGTATATGTTTTAAATATTTTCAATCATTTGACAATGAACGCTCGTTCACACTGCTACAGTTGTTGGTGCTTAAACTCGTAACCTCTAGGAATAATAATGATTCCTTTAACTATGAGGTAAGTTGATTCGTGCCAATTTAAGTTTCAACAATGGGTCAAACGCATAGTTGTTTGGATATCACAAAATCTTTTTTATCCTATACACAACCATGGTATTTAGTAAAAGGGTTCATAATGCCCATTTTTAAGTCAATTCCCTTTTTTTTTTTTTGCCTTAATTTCTTGGTACCTCCTTTTCAACACCTCAACTTTATATGATTCCAATTACCAGAACACTGAAAAAGAAAACATATATTTGATTTAATATTTTTTACTATTTAAGTTTTCCTTCAAGTTCTCCATTAAAAAACTCTGAAGTACAGGTTTGATTTATTCGTATACTTGAAGAAAATTCGACCATTAATGTATAATTACTTAAGAACAAGTAGGTAGGTAACCATTTGATTTCCAACTCCAAGGGGTATCTTAAAGGTTTGCTACAAGGAAACCAAAGGTTAGAGTAACTGTTGGTTGTAGCTTTATGCAACTAGTGAAAGGGTTTACCATTTAAGGTAAAAATAATTAAACAAAAAACCCCTTAGCAAAGATCAAAAGATCCCTTTAAGGACCACAATCATGTATATATATATATATATATTATAATAATAATAATAATAATAATTACACAGATCCCAGCAATCTGAACTGAGATTTTGTTACTCTTTGCTGTTATCTTTCACCTTGCATGACTCCTTTTCCTGGTTTTTATTACCTGTTTGCCCAACAAAGTTAACAAAATAAATAAATATTTTCTTTGGCACTTCAAGATTTTTTATGGAGGGACAGGATCTCTCAACAGGGTGGTTTCAGAGTGTTGGGTTGGGTTAATCTGAGCCATCCAAAACGGGGACCACAAATCCACAATATATACATTTGTATGTATGTTGTATGTACGTGTACAAGTACATGTTGTCAGCTGTTGTAGTACTGCATCGGTGAAGAAAACAGACGGGACTATAAAACATAAACTTGGGGGCAGTAAGTAGCTAGATGTGTGTGTAAGATGTTCATGTATCATTAAAAAAATAAATTTCATTTCCCTTTGGTATTTTGTGCTCATTGACACAAATGAATAATATATTTATTATACAAATTTTGATATGAAATTCTCAGTTTTACAAATCAATCATCTGTACATTTAAACTACATTCTGCAAAGGCTTAAAATCTTGTGATGGATAAATGATGCACACAACCCAGCCTGAAAAAGAGAATGACAAAATTTTTTAACAATCTCAACTAGATTTCATTCAAAAAACAATAAAAAAATAGAATTATAATGCACCCAAACATATAGAGAAAATTAAAGACAGTAGTCAACAAAAACTCATACAAAAATAAAAATATTAAACTCAAAAATACAAAGAAAATCAGAACCCTCAATTGAGAGTGACAATCAATATCAAAATAACTCAATAATCTTCATAAAAATAAATGTCGTGATGGTTTTTGTGTAATTACCAAAACGACTGCAAGGGTATACTAAAAACATACCGAAAGCTATAAGGATCGTGCCACGAAAACAGAGAAATCACGTGTCACAATAGTAGAGAAAAGCACGTCACAAGTACATAGATTAATATTCAAAATTAAAAAAAAAACTCAAGAAAAAACACATAGTATGAAAAAAAATAAGAAAACTAATAATCACCCGTGATCGGCAACCAATATCAAGATTGATGTTACCGACTGAAAAAAAAAATAAAAGGAGAAAAAGGAAGATGTCACACATATTTTTAGAGAAAAATAAGATTAAAAAAAGAGAGAGTAATTGATAAATTTATAAAATGCTTCTAAAAATGATATGACATTTTAAATATGCACAAATAGGAACAGTCTATCATATAGTAGAAACCATGTCATAGATACAATATCAAATTTTCAATATCATAAACCATGGAAAAGAGGGAAACAATTAGAGCACCAAGCCACTAATTCTTCCAACAAATTTTAAGGAGGAAAACACTGTGTGCTGAGACCGTCCACCTTATATCAAATAAATTCAAAATTGTCCAATTTAACTCCCTAAATTCCATCTTATTAGTCATTTGCAGTACATTAAAAACTACTATTTACACATTATCGTTACATAGTGTAGACACCCATTTTCGTCTGATATATTATATAGTTTACAAATGTTTTTGAAAAACGTATAATATATATAGTTTTGAAAATGGTTTTTGGAAATATATATATATTATATAATGTTTGGAAAGCTTTTTGAAACATATATAATATATGGTTTTTGAAAACATTTTAAAAATATATATATAATATATAGATTTTTGAAAAAACATTTATGAATATATATAATATATAGTTTTGAAATCATTTTTAAAACATTTATATAATATATAGTTTTAAAACATTTTTGAAAACTATATAATATATAATTTAAAAAACATTTTGTAAATATATAATATATAGT